AGGAAGAGAAGGAGGAGGTGCGTGGCCTTTCCCAAAGTCTTCCACTTCTCGATGCCACTCCTACTTTTTGGCATTCTTTGCTTTGCTTTGCCGTGCTTTGCTTTGCTTCACATTGCGTTTCTCATTCTTCATTTCTTCTCTCTTCTTGTGTTTCTTTGCTGTTCCTTTCTTTCCTCCATCCCTATTCTTTTATTTTCCTTCTTTTTTTTCTTTTGCCTTTCTTTTGCTTTTCTTTTCCTTTTTCTTTGCTTTGCTTTACCTCACATTGCTTTCCCTGCTTTTCCTTCCTGTTCTCTTCTTTGCTTGCCTTGTTTTGCATTTCATTCTTTGCTTTGCTTTGCCTCTCTTTGCTTTCTTTATTAATTTCTTTTCTCTTGTCTTGCTCTCTTCTTTCTTTATTTCCTTTCCTTGTCTTTCCTTTCCTTGTCTTTCTTTTCCCTATCTTTCCTTTCCCTGTCTTGCCTTGCCTGTCTTTCCTGCTTTGTTTTCTTTTTCTTTCCTTTAGCAATGCCTTGCTTTGCCTCGCTTTCCTTTCCTTGCTTTGCATTTCTTTTCTCTTCTTGTCTTGCTTTGCTTCACTTTCCTTCTTTCCTTTCTTTTTTTTTCACTTTCTTTGCTTTTTCCTCTTCTCTTCTTTTATATGCTGTGCCTTGCTTTGTCTTACTTTGCTTTCCTTTTTGCATTTAAGTTTTTGCTTTCCTTTGCTTTGCCTCGCTTGGCAAAATTATTTCCTCATTATTCAGTTCTTTTCTCTGCTTCTCTTGCTTTGCTTTTCTTTCCTTTGTTTGTTTCTCTTTCTTCCTTTTTCTTTCATTTTCTTTCCTTTTATCTTGTTTTATTTCCTTTTTCTTTTTTTTCTTAGCCTTGCTTTGTCTTGCTTTGCTTTCCGCTGTTTTCATTCCGTCTTCTTCACTTTGCTTTCTTTTTTTGCATTTCATTCTTTGCTTTTTTGCCTCGATTTGCTTTCCTTATTAATTTCTTGTCTCTTGCCTTCCTCTATTTTCTTTATTTCCTTTCCTTTTCTTTCCTACCTATCTTTTCTTGTCTTCTCTTCTTTCTTTCCTTTTTCTTTCCTTTAGCAATGCTTTGCTTTGCTTTGCCTCATTTCGCTTTCCTTATTTTGCATTTCTTTTGTCTTCTTGTCTTGCTTTGCTTTTCTTTTTTTTCAAAGTCTTCCACTTCTCGATGCCAGTTCTACTTTTTAGCATGCTTTGCTTTGATTTGCTTTGCCTTGGTTCGCTGTCCTCATTATTAATTGCTTTTCCTTTTCTTTCCCTTTCCTTTGTGTGCCATTGCTTGCTGTTGCTTGCCTTTGCTTGTTTTTTCTCCTTTTTTTCCTTTGTTTCATTTTCTTTCCCTTTTTTTTTTCATTCTTTTTGCTTTTTTTGTTTTCTTTTTTCTTTTTCTTTCCATTTTTTTGTTTTGTTTCATTTTTCTTTTCTTTTTTCTTTCCTTTTGCTTCCTTTTTTCTTTTGCTGTTCTTTCCTTTAGCAAAGCTTTGCTTTACTTTGCTCAGCTTTGCTTTCCTTGTTTTGCATTTCTTTTTTCTTCTTGTCTTGCTTTGCTTCTCTTTTCTTGTTTTCTTTCATTTCTTTTCTTTCTTTCCTCTGCTTTTTCTTTTATTGATTTCCTTTGCTTTGCGTTGCCTTTTTTTTTTTTGCAGTGTGTATATTTGACAACTCTTCTCAGTGTTGCATCCAGAAAACACCTCCAAACATTGCCATTTCTAAATTAGATTTCCTTTTCTCCTCCTAAATATTTCCATAGCCTTCCACTTTTCGATGCCAGCCTACTTTTGGCCCTGAAGCAGTGCTGCGCTGTGCTGCTTGGGCAGTGATGGGCAAGAGAGGCTGAGAGAGCCAGGGCACGAGTGGTGCCTTGGAGGTGCAAGAACAGCAGGCAGGCGGCAATGCGAAAGGGCCGAGAGGAGCCCTGGCAAGGGCCTGTGCCGAGTGCTGCAGAGCAAGGCAAAAAGCCCGTGGAGAGCTGTGTTAGCCCACAGTGGGGGGAAGAAAGCCTTCCTCCCCCCGGTTGCAGCACACAAGAGGCCGTCTTGGTGGTGCAGGAGCAGCAGGCAGGAGTGTAGGCCAGAGGGAGTGGAGGAGCTTGGGCAAGTGGTCATGCTCAATGGTGCAGAGAAAGGCAAAAAACCCATGGGAAGCAGTGCCAGCATGCCCAGGGGAAAATTCCTTCCTGAGCCCAGAGCTGGCACTCGGCTCTTCCTTGAGCGTGGGAGCGAGACCTGGCTGCTGGTCCCACAGGGTGGCCACGCCTGCCAGGAGATGGCCAAGGCCTCTTCTCCGTCAAGCTGGAGACATGTGAGAGGCTTCTGAGAGTGGCCACCTGCCCCTGGGCTGATGGAGTTTGGGGGCAAGAAACGTTGCTGTGCCTGGCAGGATGCCAGTGGATGCTCCAAAGCGCTGGGATCATACGTGCGATCTCTGCATGCGATATCTTACGTCTGCTGCCCCTGGCTGTGCAGAGGTGGAGGCCAGAGAGCTCTGCAGTGCTCCTCACGTGCTCATGCAGAAGGCATTGCCTTGGTGGTTCTGGTCGAGTCCTGAGGAGCTGGCGTGTGTTCCCTTAGGGCTGAAGCAGGTCTTCGATCCTGGGAGCAGATGTTTCTGTGCTGCTGCTTGGTCCTCTGGAGGGAGCTTTGTCCCAGCCATTGAGTTTACTCAGGAATGCGTTTTAACATCTGGCAAATACTTAGGACTTTTACTTTCTCTCTCACTCTTCCTAAATATGTGTGTATATACTATATAATTTATAAAAATGTGTGTGTGTGTATGAATTTATATAAAATGCAAAAGATAAATGCACGCACACAGAAGTATGTACTTCTTTGGCACATGCAGTTGTGAATGAGGAAGACAAACTTCACACAGTATCTCTAGCAGGCTTTGAAGTTAGTTTCAACATGGGTACAGAGAATCACAGAGTACCTTAAAACACAATTATGGAGCAAATCCCTGCTGTTTGCTCTAACTTTGTAGAGCCATCAGGAAGAGAGTATTCAAAAAGCTATGAAATGTTCCTAGTGATGCAGCTAGTAGTAAAACTGAGAAGAATAGTGTGAGTTTTACTGTGCCGTTGTATCTGCTGAGACTGTGGTTTCAGCAGAGTAAGTTTGGGAATATAGAGGCGGCAGGAAAGTTCATTGACAAAAACAGAGAAACTTTGAAGTTTTTTTCCAATTACCCTCCCCCCCCCTCCCCATTTTCCCCATCCCTGTTTAGGCTCATAACCTTCCAAAAGCTGTCCCAGCAGCTCACGCTTTTCTTCTGAAGTATCCAGATGATGAAATGATGCAAAGAAATATGGCCCACTCTGAGAGCATACCTGATGCTGAGGACCTGTGCTGGTTCTGGCTGAGACAGAGTGAATTGTCTTCACAGTAGCTGATCTGGGGCTATGCTTTGGATTTGTGCTGCAAACGGTGTTGGTAACACAAGGGTGTTTTGGTTACTGCTGAGCAGTGCTCACACAGAGTCAGGGCCTTTGCTGCTCCTCCAACAAGAAGTTGGGAGGTGACACAGATGGGACAGCAGAGCCCAGCTGACTAAACAGATATTCCATACCATATGTTGTCATTCAAAGGGTTGTCATCGGCAGTGCTGAGTCTAGTTGGAGGCCGGTAACTAGTGGTCTCCCCCAGGGGTCAGCACTGGGCCCAGCCTTGTTTAACTTCTTCATCAATGACCTGGATGAAGAGTTAGAGTGCACCCTCAGCAAGTTTGCTGATGACACCAAACTGGGAGCTATGGTGGATACACCGGAAGACTGTGCTGCCATTCAGAGAGACCTGGACAGGCTGGAAAGTTGGGCAGAGAGGAACCTGATGAGGTTCAACAAGGGCAAGTGCAGGGTCCTACACCTGG